TGATATTTAATATTACTATAGTTATTTCTGATTACTGTGGTTCCCAAGCCATTAATCTTCTTACAAACACAATCAGCATTTCCTCAAAAAATCAGTTTGTTAATCATTCAATTTTGAGGGAAAATACTGATAGGAAACTCCCAAATGTCTACAGACATTGTCTCTGCAGTGGAATAAGTGATAATTTTCTGTAGTTTCCAAATGTACTACAATTAACATGTATTAACTAGCTTTTGTATAACTTTTATTATTGTAAATAATGTTTACTCGTTTATGAAGCCCAGTTATACCTTTTTGGTTTTATCTTTTTAATATTTTATTACTATGCAACACTAGCAAGCCCTTATCCAAAACTGAGTCATTCATGTATTGTTAAATATATATCAAGTACTTACACTTTTATATAGCAATTTTACTTATCTGAAAATTGACTAAAAATTGTCTGAACTTAAAATAGTTATTACAAAGACTATGTATTAAATCACATATATGTTATTTGTAAGGGAGCACCTATTCCCCTCTCCTGCCAACAATCTCACACCTACTTAATAACGGAAATAGGGTTAGAATTTAGGTGTGGTGGGTACCATGAGTGAGATATTGAAGAAAAGTAGGGATTGTAATAGTGCGAGGCAAGGATTCTAAATATTGGCTGATAAAAAGAAAGGCAGATTGATTGTACACATCTCTACACTTTAGTAGATAATGTGGAGACAATGAAAGTTTTGAGCAGCAGAAAGACTAAACAGAAAGTTCAGAACAATCTTTCCATATTCTAGAGGGATCTAATAAGAGTCTGGACCAAGGATATCAGCATAAGAATAGAGATGAAGGTAGGCTCCTTGGAACTAGCTTAATAATGACTTAACGGTTTGCCTCTGAAAAGTAAAGACAATTAGGAGAAGAAGCTACCTAAGTGAGAACATTATGCATTTGATATATGACATTCTGAGTTTGAAATAAGGGACATCTGAGTTTACAGAAATAATCTAACAAGCAATGTAAACTGTAGTAATAAAGAAGGTTCCAAGCTTAGGTCTCTAGTCAGATTGCCTATATGGAAGCTAATAGCTCTACTATTTAGTAGCTGTTTGAGATACATCAATCTCTGACCTTTAGTTTTCTCATCAGTAAAACAGGAATAATGAAGTAGATTGTAATAAGAATTAAATGAGAAAATACATGTAAAGCACTTAGAAATAGACACTTAAATCACATAATTGAAAGAAATTAAAAAGAACTTCAGAGGTTATCTAGTTCAACTTTCTATTATGGTTCAAAAGAAATGGAGACTTCCATAAAATGAGAGACCAAAAAAGAATTTTAAAAATCTTAATCATGACTGAGAATATTAAACAATTACATAGAGAAAACCTACTCTATATAGAGTTAGAGTGAAAAGCTTATATTAATTCCATCACCCAACAAAGGTGCTATAAAGGGATTAGAATATTGTTTACCCTCATTTGTCAGAAAATCATTCACCATTCAGAGGCATTAGCAATACAGACTATGTATGCTTATTAAATAGTTTTCAAATAGCTTTTTTTTTTGACTGACCAATATGAAATTTCAAACAATAGACCATTCAGACCTACAAATTCAACAATTTTATATGATTCAGCCTAAGAAAAAAAATTCAAACAACTTTACTATGTGATCTAACTCACCTCAGAACAAAGTGCTTTGTGGGCAAATGATCTGCCAAACCAAGAACACATCTCAACTCAATTCAGGGATCTAGACTGATTTGCCTGCTAGCAAATTAGTCCTTGGCTGCTTTCTTGCTACAACAACAGAGTTGAGTATATCGAGCAGATTGCATAGCCCACAAAGCTAAAATTATTGACTATCTGGCCTTTTACAGAAAAAGTTTACGGATCTCTGATCCAGACCATGGTCGTCAAAGTATAGTCTGAACAGTTGTCTCTCTAAGCTTTACTGTTTGTAATAAGACACTGAGTAGTCTTTGTTCATATGTATGTACATATGTATACACATGTGTGTGTATATATATATATATATATATATATATATATATATACACACACATATATATATATATATGTATATATAAAGGCACTGTCTGACTAATCTTTCAACTGTCCATTAATTCAGGAATGGTTTTTACTCTGGCAAATCAATGAGTATATTATGTTACAGGATCTTTTGTATGTCCCCTTTCTGGATGAAATAAACTGAAGCTTGCTGAAATTATTAGGGGCTACTTATATGAAAGACAAACTATCAAGTCACATGTTGAGAATGTGTCCTCACACTGCACTAAAGGATATATTATATAAAGCACCAGCTTTAATATTAGACTAGAATCATATCCTGGTTATAAAAATGAATCCTGTAAGATAGGTGACCTTAACTGTTATTTGTTTACTGAGATACTGGAACCATTACAGGACTAGAGTAGTTGAAATTTATAAGTACACTGAGACATGAAGTAGTGCAGAACTAATTAGCTGAAATTTTCAAATAGCCCCAATAAGAAAGTCAGTTCTATGCATATATTAAATGCCAGTTTTGTTCTGGATGCTTCACTTGGCACTGCATTATACACCAATAGGACACTGATCAGATAAAATTAAATTAAATGCAAAACTGTGTTTATCTAAAATAGTAAGACTAGGGGCTGGCTGAGTGGTGCATTGATTAAGAGCTGGCTTGGGACGCCAGCTCTAAGCAGCAGGACCCTGGTTCAGATCCCACATGAGGGCCAGTGACACTGCCCTCTACAGCTAAGATGGTGAACAACAGCTCGACCTGGAGCTCGGCTGCCGTGAGTCACCAGCGACGGTGTAGGCTGCAGTGGGGCTGCAGTGGGCTGCCATGAGCTACTGCGACTGGCCAGCAGCCAGTGTCAACAGCCGGCAGCTGCCAAGAGCCGCCGTGAGCAGCTGTCCAGAGGCCGGTGACCCATCTGCCTCACCCAGGAAGAGCGCAATGATAATACCAACATGGGCCAGTGAAGCAAAGACCTCCACAACTAGACTGAAGAACAAAAGGACTGCAACTTGTCTGTTCCCCCTCCCCCGATTCCCCAGTGCTGTTCCCCTCCCTCAATTCCCCAATAAAATCTTTAAAAAAAAAAAAGTAAGACTACAGCAATTACCTCCATTCCATCATACACCCCAAAATCTCATACTAAGCAGGTAAGTTGCCCACAGAGTTACCACCTCATTCCATTATTCTTACAAAAGGACTAGAGCTTAATCATTTTTCAAAAAGAATTCAAATTTATATAAAAGGTAAAGTCTTAGAGACAGCTTAAAATATTTAAAAGTTCCCAATAATCTTAGTACTACTACTTACTAAAATAATAATCATTATATTTGTCGAACCCTTAACAATTTAAAAAACATTTTTACACATTTTATCTCTTTTGATCCTAATGAGAACCCTGAAAGCTAGAAATGGCAGATTTTATTATTCCAGTTTTATTTGAGACTGCTGAGGCTCTATAAAATTAACAGAAATTTCTCAAGGATATAAATACATTAAGAACATTTTGATACTTAGCACACATCCAGACACCGTTTTAAAGGTGGAAAAGGGTGATTAAAAGTTGTCTCCTGTTTTACAGTGAGTTAACTTACATATACAATATTAATTTCCTAATTTTAACTACAGGTTTCCAAGAATTAGGTACATAAAAAGAGGGTGTTGCTTATAAGAATGAAAGCAAGAGAGATGGATCATTAACAAAATTGACAAAGCCTCTATTACAAACTACATTTGAATTTCTAGTTACAGTAAGAATTATTTTTATGTAAGTAGTCTATAATTTTAGTAGTCAGCATAATTTTAGTTTGTAAAGAAGAGGCCACATAAAAAAGACTAATTAGATCTTATTTTACAAAAATTTTATGGTTTAGGATTATTATCTACTTTTCCGACTTTCTGACAGATTTAAGAACTTACTATAGAGATATAATTAATTTACTTATACCACTTTCATCATATCATTTCATAAAGAACATATGGGTAGCATTTAAAGCTGATTATTAGAAAATAAGACTTGAAAAGTGTTGGTAAATAAAAAAGACCATTCAAAATATAAACAATATATTGAGAAGAGGATGTGTACTAGTGAAGAAAATATTTTATTATTTTGAAAGAATGGCAGAAAACTGTATTTCAAATGTTTTTGATAGTTTAAAGTGTCAAACACTAAGTTATGTTAAAATGATATTAAAGCTAATCCCTTATGAAACTTTAAAATTATATTTCCAACTTTATTGTAAATTCCAGGCCAACACCTCTCCTCCCAATCTTATGCTATGCAGAATGTACCCAAGTGCAGAACTGCTCATATGAGGATCAAATGAGATAATACATGCAAAACGGCTTTGAAAAATATAAAATTGTATACAAGTATAAGAGATTATTTTAATTATTACCTATAGCTTATAAAATATAGTATATAAAATTTTTTTTATTGGGGAACAGTGTGTTTTCCCAGGATCCATCAGCTCCAAGTCAAATAGTTGTTTCAATCCAGTTGTGGAGAGCACAACTCAGTGGCCCATGTGGGGATCAAACTGGCAACCTTGGTGTTATGAGTCTGCATTCTAACCAACTGAGCTAACCAGCCACCCCTAAATTTTTAAAATTCGAAATTCTTTTTATTTGATTGACATAATAATTTTAAAGCTCAATATTGAGAATAACCTGGAAAAGAAAGAACTTGCTCTTTCAGATATTAAAATACATTGTAAAGGTGCCCAGTTAAAAATGCAGAATGAACACATGCACTTATATCTGCTTTTCCTTCCCAAACCCACTAAAGTAATAGTAAAGGTATAAAATAAAGAAGTAATCTATTAATTCATAAGTATAGAGAATAAGTATACTGTCAAAAGCAGATGAGAGACTTCAATAAATTTTTGGAAGACAGAGAAAGTAATAACTTAAGATACTTGTAAGATACTAACAGAGACATGCTAATAGGAAGTGAGTAATTACCCCTCAGAATATGAAAGACTCACCATTTGGAAGTGGAAGGAGGATTCATTGAAGTCTCCTGGACCCTGAGGCCCCTCCCTAATCCGTGTCACTCAATGGAAGTTGAAATCTAACCAGGAAAGCTTTGGACTTGGGCACACCAACAAAGCACAGGGCTTGGCCTGAAAACAAAATGATTAAGTGAAAGTTAATACATACTGAATCGTTGAATGTCTAGCTCTTTTCCCCTTCCTTGTTCACCATTAGCAAAGCATTCACATTCACACACACACACACACACACACACACACACACACACACACACACACCTCCACTCCTCAGGAAAGACTGGAACATTCTTTTCTCTGGAAAAAATAAACTCCAGAGAAAAGGAGTAATGTCATTTGAACATTCTAAAAGGATGAGTCTATGCTATTCACACTAGGGCAACACTCACCAGTTGATAAGCTCACTCATACATACAAAGATTCCAATTAGCTTTGTTATATAGTCTTATTCTTAAATATAAATGGAGAGTCAAAGATCCCCTGATATCTGAGGAAAGTCTCCATCAAAAGAGATCTCTGACTTAAACCAACAAATAGAAGAAAAAGCCAAAAGGAAGCAAAGACAAGGTAGGTAGCAAAACAAAACAAAACATAACTCTCTAATTAATTTTCTCAGAGAGATAAGTAAAGACACTGCTTCCATTAAAAAAAACAACAACAACAAAGAAACAAGCAAACAAACAACAGATTACCACTTAGAAAGGAATAATAAAAGAATAAGAAATAACCCTTGGGCAAAAAATAGGATAGCTGAAATTTTTAAAAATTTAATAAGTGTTGAAAAATAAAATATCTCAGAAAGTAGAACCATAAAATAAAAGACTGTCCAAAAAGTCCAATATTTGACTAAAGAGTATTCTAAAGATTGCTTACAGGAAGAAATAATTTAAGAATTTTCCTATAACTGAAGGACACAAATCTCCATACAAAAAGAGATTTACTCCAAAATGCATCATTGTGATTAAGCAATCAGACATAAAAAGATCCTGAAAGTTTTAAGAGAGGAAAAAAAGGTCACATATAAAGCATTGGGGGTCAGAATACCAGCAAATTTCTCAAAAGCAGCACTACAAGATGGAAGACCAATATCCAACCCAGAAGAGCAATGGAGGGAAGGCCCAAGATGACAGCTGCATAGAACAAGCAGCCCGTATTCAAGCAGAAGATGAAGGACTCTGGAAAAGAGATCTTTATTAAACATAACTGATATGTTTGAGTGTATTAAAGTCATATAGCAGAAATGTTAGAGCAATCAGAAAAAAAATCAAAGGTATTCAGAAAATTAGGTAGATAAAAAAGCCATTACTAACTCCAATAAAAATGAAGGAAAAGGATATTCAAAAAAGGAGGAACGGTTATAGGGCACTATTGACTGAGTTGTGTCAATACGTAATACTAATAGTTCACAGTAATGTAAACACTTGATTTAATAAAAATTGTAATATAGCTATATTGAGGGAGGACAAGTGGAGATAGTGGCAGTGAGTGATAGCTAAGTCCTCATCTACCATATGGGAAGTAAGTAGATAAGGCCTTAAATTAATGAATCAAAAAAGCAGCATATAAACATATGATTTAGAAGTGCGGCAGAAAATACCCAAGGAGCAGAAGGCTTGAAGGTTGGTGCCACTGTAGATTGGAGTTGAGGCAGGACTGAGAGGACTGCCTGTATACATTATAACCCTTTAAAATTGGACTTTCAAAAGTTATGTATATGTACTTTAATAAAATAAAATTAAAATTGATTGTGAACCTTACTAATTAAAACAGAATGGTACTGACACCAAAACAGAGAGCAGTAAAACAAACAAAAAAATCCACAAAGACCAAAAAATATAAAAGAATGTAATATATAAAATGCATTAACTTCCTTGGGCCAGCCGAATGGCGTGTTGGTTAAGAACTCGCTTGGGATGTCAGAAGGCCCCGGTTCAGATCCCACATATGAGGGCCAGTGACACTGCCCTCTGCGGCTAAGATGGTGAACGGCAGCTCGACTTGGGGCTGGGCTGCTGTGGGTCACCGGCGATGGTGTAGGCTGCAGTCCTCTGCTGCAGTGGGCTGCCATAAGCTACCGTGTGTGGCCAGCAGTGGCCGTGAGCGGCCCTCCAGAGGCCGGCGACTGATCTGCCTCGCCCGGGAAGAGTGCAATGATGGTGCCAACTTGGGCCAGTGAAGCAACGTCCTCCACAACTAGACTGAAGAACAAAAGGACAGCAATTTGTCTGAGCCCTTCTCCCAATTCCCCTGCGCTGTTCCCATCCCCTAATTAATTCCCCAATAAAATCTTTTTAAAAAATGCATTAACTTCCTATGGCTGCTGTAACAAATTACAACAAACTTGGTTTAAAACAATAGAAATTTATTCTCTCACAGTTCTGGAGGCCAGAAGTCTGAAATCAAGCTACAGGCAGGGATGCACCCTCTGGGAGGCTCTAGGGGAGAATATAGTAAAACCATGGATTGCGAGTAACTTGGTTTGCGAGTGTTCCGCAAGATGAGCAAACATTTATAATACATTTTAACAAGGTAAACGAGCAATGTCTTGCAATACGAGTAGTTTGTTTCCAGAACACATTATGCTTGCAAACCAAGGTATTACTGTACTTCCTTCCTTCTTCCAGCGTGTGGTGGCTGCTGGTAGACATTGGCTAATGGCAACATAACTCCCATCTCTGCCAGTCTTCACATTGCCTTCTGTGTGTATGTGTTTAATCTCCTTCTCCCTCTCTCAAACCAAAGACACTTATAATGGCATTTAGGACCCTCCCAGGTGATCCAGAATAATCTCATATCGAGATCCTTAATCACATCTGCAAAAACTTTAACATATGAGGTAACATTCACTGATTCCAGGAATTAGGACCTGTTTTATTTTGGGGTCCCATTCAGCTCACTACAATCAATGTAGCATTTCAAATCAGTAGGAAAGGGATATTTTATTCAATAAATATTGTTGGGACAATTAACCATCTATCTGAAAAAGTATTTTTTAGTTAATATAAGGATGGTTTAAAATTTAAATGTTAAAACCTTATAACAATACCATGTGAAAATACAGATGAATGTTTTATAAATCTGGAGTCAGAAACCTTTAAATGTGATACCAGGCACAGAAATCATGTAGAAGAGCACACAAACTGTAAATTTATATAACAAAATGAACCATAGACAACTTTGAAAGGAAATAACTGGGAAAGGTAAGATATGAAGAAGAAAATGTAATATTTTTACATTAGAGAACTCATAACTAAATAGTGAAAATACAAACTCACCAACTGAAAAATTAGGACAATACAAGAATAGGCAATTTACAAAAGAACTTCAAAAGTCCAATGAATACACAAAAATGTTATTTAATCTCTTTTGTGACTAAAGATGCAAGAATGAAACAAATGAAAGAAAACTATGTTCACCTGTCAGTTGAAGAATGATTAAAAATGTTAACAGCTTCTGGAAAAGATGAGGGAATAACTGCATGTTTGCATAATTCCCTTCGCTGACCAAACTATGACCAAAATTAGAGATGGAAACTCCTGTGCAAAATGGCCACATCTCTCAGTACTGACTCCAATGAATAAATGTCAAATACAATGAAATGTGCATCATATTAAAAGAGGATATCCAAATCTGACATACGTATATTTCTTATAATATTAAGTAGATCTGGTTTTAATAAATTGAGTGGGTCCTGAACAATTCCAATAATTAATCACTAACTTGAGTCTTTAAAGGCATAACCACCAGACTTCTGGAAGAAGTAGACAGCACTCCACTTGTGGAGGGTGCCTATCTCCCTGTTAAAGGATAGCAAAGAAAACTATTGAAGAAAGTATCATGATGATACATATCCTCCAACAGCTCTCAATAATAAGGTTGATATTCAATCTCCATCTGCCTAGCTCTTCTGACTACATCTGAATTGGTTCCAATCTCAGGTGAGAACAAAAACGGTGAGAAGTATTATGTATTGGGCTCCCTAAAACCTACAGTGGCCAGAACATTTTTTATTTTCCTTCCTGAGAGGTGAGTCATGGCTGTAGAGAAATAGAAACAGCAAGCTTGTAATCAACCTTGCACAATAGACTAAAGCAGACTGTAAGAGCTGCCTCTGGAATCAATGGCTAACATACATATTTGTGAAAAACTGTTTTAGAGACAGCATATGAAAACTGTGCCATCAAGCAGCGAATTGAAGAGAGATCATGATAATGTATCCAGTCCCCTATCTCAGCCTCTAAAGCAGTTATTCCAATGGCCAATGGGAGGGGGTTGAGAAGACTCTACTTATACCATTCTTGGGCAAAGAGCAGCCCTTTTCAACAATAAATAACATGAAAAATAAATAACATGAAAAAAAGTAGCACTGCAAGAACATAAGAAGGAGGGGCCATAATGTGAAAAAGAAAATACATATACAGTTGAAGAACTACTTCATAAAATAAAGAAAAACTGCTCTGCATACATATACATAAAACATAACTCCATAAAACAGATTTAAAAAAAGAGCTGAAGGAAGCAAAAGATAAAAGAAAAAGGAAGAGAAAAAAATTTGATAGAACTTGAAACCACATTAGAAATAACTCCAAGTAGAATAGATACTTCAGAAAACCAAATTAATAACATGCATGACAAGCTTGGGAAAACATTCAGAATGAAGATTACAAGATAAAGGTAGCTAGATTTGAACAAAGTGGTTAGACAGAACAAAGATGATTGGTTTGGTAGACAAACTATTGAGATCTATCATAATAGTGTTGAACAGAGAGACAGACATATAAAACAGCCCAAATATCCAAGGATATAAAGCTGAAAACTGAATAGGCTTATCATGTTCCAGAAGAAATTAATAAAAAATGATTAAGACTTAAGATATATTATGGAATGTTGCTGAATTTTAAGGATAAATAAAAATGCTATTAGCATCTAGACAGAAAAAACAGGGCCACCTACAAATTAAATGATGTATGCTAGACTCAGACATCTCCTCAGCAACATCAGATAATGGATAAAAGTGAGTACTCTGAACAGTGCTAAGGGAAAAAGAATATTACATGGAATTTTCTACTTAGCTGGAATGTAATTTAATGGATATACAACATTCCATTGTATGGATGTACTGTAATTCATTTAATTTGTCTATTATTGAATGATATTTAAATTGTTTCCAGAGTTGTATTATTTCAAACTATGCTGAAATGAATAAACATATATGTATTATTTAAAATACACGCAAGTATACCTATAAGATAAATTTCTGGAAGTATAATGCCTGAATCAAAAGGTATATGCATTTAAAAATTTTTTCATTTTGCTCAATTGTCCTCCACAGAGATTTGACCAATTTTTATGCCTACTAGTAATATAAAAAAGTGCTTGTTCACTACAATTCACCAACACATTGTGTTATTAAATTTTCTGATCTTTTCCAACCTCATAGATAAAAAAATTTTTAAGTAATAATTTGCACTTATCTTACTATATTTCATCAATTGAAAACACCATCATTTGAAAGGTGCATAATTATTTTATGTATCTATATATAAGAAAAAGCTACAAAGTCAACTATGCTTTAAAATCATCAGTTGTCAGATACATAATCAGATACATATAAAGTTTAGATTTCAGAAATTATTTCAGAGATGTGAAAATATGAACAGGTGCTTCTTAGGATTAATGAAATATAGTGTTTGAGTAAGGCTGAGTGTCTAGAAAGGCTTTTCTCAGATATTAAAAAATCAGGAATACAGCACTCATAAACCCCTCTAAAACAACAACAAAAATTATTTGAAGCCACAAGCAATACAATTAAAATATATTTAAAAATCAAGAATTTATAAAATGGAGAAATGGTGAAAAGGGTTAGCAATGAGCATTTAATTCAATCTAAATGTGATTATAACAAACAAAACAGAATTGTTATAGCTACTAAAATAATAGGTACATAATGTAAAAATAAGAACAATTTGATGAAAACAATTTTTGACAAAATTCCAGAACGTACCATTTAAAATGTTAGCGAGAAATATGATAAATTTTTCATCTTTTATGCTTAAAAGATATTTAATAAACTTAACATCCATTCTTGATATATTAAAACGAACTCACACACACACACACACTCTTAACACTCAAACGTCACCATACTGCTTAATGGTAAAACAACAAGAACATTCCCATTAAGGTGAGGAACAACATCAAGGAAGCCACCATTATTCTATTAAGCATTGTTGTAAATGTGCTAAATGATACAGTAGGACTTAGAAAAGAAATGGGGATTAAAATCAAAAGGAAGGAGGCTAAATTATCATTTTACATATGATGTGACAGTATACCTGAAACAGTTAAGACAGTTCATTGAGAAACTATTAGAAGCAATAAGATCTTTTAAGAAGGTAGCTGGTTATAAAATTAATATATAAAATTGAGCCATTTTCCTATTGATTTACAAAATCTAATGCAAGAAAAAAATTCATCCCCATTACAATTACTAGGAATAAATTCAACACCAAAAAACTTATACAAAGAAAACTAAAAACACTAATAAAATAGACTCAAAGGAGTCATTTCTCTAAATTAATCTATGCAGTCAGTGTAATCTAAATCATTAGCAAGAGGTTGTTTGCAATTCTTTTTAAACAGATAAATTGAATCTAAAATTCATTGGGAAAACAAATGTAAGAATAACCAGAAAAAAATCTGGAAAATAAGAGTGATAAAGAGATTTTAAGGGCTGGCCGAGTGGCTCAGTTGGTTAAGAGTTAGCTTAAGAGTCCGAGCTCTGAGCAACAGGGCCGCTGGTTCGATTCCCACATGGGCCAGTGATGCTGCGCCTGAGCTGAGCTGAGCTGAGCTGCCAACAGGTGGCAGGGTGGCTCAGCTGGTGAGAGCATGTGCTCCTAACAACAAGACTGCCTGTTTGATGGTGGGCTATGCCCACCTGCAACCAAGACTGAACTCAGCACCTTGAGCTGAGCTGCCGCCTGGATGGTTCAGTGGATAGAGCGTGCACTTTTAACAAAGCTGCTGGTTCGACTGCATGGGATGGTGGCTACACCCACCTGCAACTAGGATTGAACACAGCACCTTCAACCTAGAGGCCACGAGATGGGCAGCCAGATGGTGACTGGTGCTCTCCACAACTAAGATTGAAGAACAACAAATTGTCTGGTTCCCCTCCCCAATTCCCCAACACTTCCCCTCCCCCAATTCCATAAATAAATAAATAAATAAATAAGATTTTAAAGCAATACTAATTAAATCAGTGTTGTACTGATGTTCCATTTCTACTTCAGAAAGTTACAAAAGAACATCACTCCCGTCCTAATAATGAGAATAAGCTAGATAATTTACAAAATTATGTGTTTTCTTAAAGCCCATCAGAGAGCTGAGGAAGCAAAAAAAGCTAATGAACTAAAATCCAGAAAGTGACTAGCCCTACCTAGGACTGAGGAGACCTATGGCTGCTCTCATTTGGTAGAACAGCAGGAAGAGGAGACAACTGCTCAACAAAATAATGGAGGGCAAAAAACAAGAGAACAGCATCTTTTATGTCCTGGGGGGGGGGGGGGGAAAGTTGGCCAAGAATTCTATATCCAATAAAAATGTCCTTCAAAAATGAAAGCAAAATAAAATTTCAGACAGATGAAAGCTGGAAGAATTTATATCAAACAGACCTGCAGTACAAAATTTTCTAAATATTCTTTAGGGTGAAGGGGAATGCTATCAGACAGATACTCAGTTCTATAGGAAGGAAGAGAGAAATAAAAAAAGGTAAACATATTGATAAATACAAAGAAAAAAATTTAAATTGCATATACACATGCATCTTTAAATTTCACTACAAGAGTGATTCTTGAAATTAAAAATAATATAAATATACAGCATATATAGAAGTAAAATATAACAGCACAAAAGGTGAGAAGGTAATTGGAGGCATAAATTGTAACATTCTTACATTGTTCATGAACTAGAATATATTTGAAAATAGGCAGCAACAAGTACAAGATGCATATTGTAATGTCTAGTACAACCAATAAAAAATAACATGAAGAGACAAAACTAAAAAGTCGAGATGAAGTGCAAAAGGGAACAAGAATATTATGAAATAACAAAAGCCAGTTCACATGAGGAAATATTTCCAGTTACAGATTTATTGAAGTCTTTCCCTCATCCCCATCTGTTGTTGTTAAAGAGTATAAAAAGAATAAAATTTTAAAGGAGACACAGTGAGTACTGAAAAAAGGTAAACTATAAAGATATAAAAAAATGTAAATATAGGTTGTAACACACAATGAAATAAAAAAGTTTGACAGCACAGTGGAACAAACCAATATATTATGTTTTATATCTGATATTTAATTTTTAATATTTAGTTCTATTTCAGTCACTGGTATAAATCTGGTTTTCTAATACGTATTTCTAATAACAATGTGACTTCCTAGTTTATCCACTGGGTTCATGTTTGCAGTTTTTGCACTTCGGACGGCTGATCTCTGAGCACCCATCTAACTCTAAAATTACAATGATTTGTCTGGCAATTTTAATTACTGGTAATTAGAACAATGTCTTTAACTGTTTCAATGGCACATGTACAATCATTTTGCATTCTTAATACAGTAATTTAAAAGAATTAATTTAATTAAAAGTAATTTAAAAGAATTCAAAAGAACTGAGTATATTAGGCACCGGCAACAAATATAAAATGATTAAAAGTTGTCGTATAAAAATATACACATACCATTAGATATTTATTTGGTCAATATATGTATAATTAATTCCTACTAAAGGAAGAGGCACCTGTGGCTACTCCATAAATATTGATGTGATGATTAAATATCACCTTACAGTATGTTGCCCATGTTGCCTGAGTTAGATACATCAATAAATAGAGAAAATCGGAAGCTATGGATAAACGTTACCTTCTCAATAAGCTATTTCACAGGGACCCATAGTTTACAATAGCTTTTATGCTCTGTACATCAAAATGACCTAATACATGAAAAATAATCCCACCCCCTCTACTGGCAAACCCACAGCATCGCGGGTTCGTTGCCAGGATGGATTTTTTTCCTCTCTCCATCTTTTCTCAGAGCATCAGGTAACTGACCAATGACATCATCTGGGCACCTGACCAGATGATCCGCGTCTCCACCAGCCGAATCCGTGGGTCGGGCTGGGTTCACGGCTTCAGGCCGCAGGAATTGTGCATGAAACCCCTCCGGAGCTCGTGCACTCCGCAGTTCGCCTCAAACCGCACATTTACTTATGTTTTGTTTTATTATAACTCACCACTTGCCACTTAGTTTCTAAAGTAGGCATTCTCATTACCAAATAACGACATAAAAATAAGCACAGAAAAAGGAAAGCACCTAAAGGCTGTAGCGAGCATTTGCCTCTAATGGAAAGATCTCCATCCACCTTTAAGAGAAATTACCTAAACCAGCCTCAGGCCGCTGCGCATGTTCGCTACCGGGACGAGAGTGGGTGGAAGCTCCTTTCGTCCAGAAAGGACCCAGCCATATGACAACCCAGTCCTGGCCCGGTCTGCCCGGAGGAGCTCAGACCAGGACCTCATCCGGGAGGGAGGCCTCAGGGCCAGGGTCCCCAAGGGAACCGCGGAGGCCCGCGAGGCCCCACGAGACCGCGTGCGTGCGTGGCGCACGCCTCCCGCCGCGACTCCACCTTGGGGCGTCGCCATGGAAACGGGTTTGGCCCCCGCCGCCCTGGCTGGCCCGGGAAGGCGCGGCCCGACCGCTGCCCCGGACCGACAGGGGCCGACGGGAGGCCGCAGAAGCTCACCGCGACGCCGGTCGCGATGCGCGCGTCCTCCGTCGCCTTCGGTCGCTCACGGCCGCGCGTAAGTCCTCCCCGGCACCCGTTCCTGCCGCCGCCGCCCGCGAGCCCCGCGACGACGCCGGGCCGCTCCCGCAGCTCGTGCCCCTCGGCACCGGTGCGTCGAGGTGTCGGGCTCCGGCTGTGCGCGGCGGGAGATTTAAACTTGGCCGCCTGGCGCGTGCGGACGCCGCGCTGCTCTCGGCGCTTCCGCCCCGGCGTCCGCGTTCACCCCCCACTCACTGTCTCCCAGCCAGACGGGGACCCGGTAATCCCTGGACGCCTCTCTCTTCCTTCTCTGCCGAATTCCTCTTTACTTAGTGAAGCGAAATGACAGGCACCAAGCCAGTCAGGCCATCCGTGTGAGGAACTGAGTGTGAGACCTCTGAGGCGCGGTGAAGGGGAAGGAACTCTCGGCTTCCTTTTCTGAGTTTCTGAGCCCGGGTGCCCCTGAGCCCCCGCTGCGCCTGCTGGGCCCTCAGCGCCACCCTGCGGGGCTATAAGCTCCTGAGCCTCGGTCATTCCTGAGTCCTCGGGAGCGTGTCAGTACCAGTGCCAGCGCGCGGGAAATGGTCACGTGCTACGTGCTATCTTTAACTCGCATGTTAAAGTTTTGAAGAGGAATAAATGAACAACTGTTAATAACTGACCTCAAATACACCTTATTTGTTGTCATAAAGGAGTCTTGAAGCGCAAAGGGTAAAATTTGAGCCAAAAAACCTCAGGAAAAAAATGGAAATAAGGAAAAACTACATGACTGATGGAAAATAATTTAAGTTCGTAGTGCTTGCTTTTTAAAGTGACTCAAAATATTAACTTTCCTAAAACTTGATAAAATACTACTTAATTACAACAATGAGGTATAGGCTAGCAAAGAAAAAGGGTTCCACTTGAAGTGATAACTAAAGTCTAGAAGATCATGAAAGACGTAAAGATGGGGTGGGATTCTAGATTATTACAAAGTACATACCTTAAAAACCTGAAAAAAAAGGTAGTTTTAGAATAGGAAAATGGGTAGGTTATTTATACGTCATAATTAATTTGGACTGAAAATATTGTTATGTCTTTAGGCCAGGGAGTTCTTAACCTGAGATACATGGGATTTCAAAGAATGGGAGAATACCTGAAGTAATAGGCAAAATTTTGTTTTTTGTTTTTTAAAGAAGCCACAGTTTTCCTTAGATGCTCAAAGTCCGGATCCTTAAAAGGGAAATAATTAGCATTTGGTAACTATGATTGTTGTACTTCCTCGGATCTTTCCTGATTCACTCATGAGAAATTTGGTGTGCCTCCTAAGGGCATACCTCTACTCTCAATAGCTGTCATGTAATTATTTACCTACCGGTGTTCCTCATTAGAGGCTGAGCTCTTCCAAGATGAAAACCTTATGTATTTCTATACAGAGTGCCTAATATATACTAGGTTCTAAAAAGAACTGAACACCTTTCTCCACAAAGAATAAATGGTAAGCAAAATGACTTTCAAAATGTTACCATGCACCATAGCAAGTTTCTTGGGATATTTTAGAAAATGGATATTAAACAAATAGCTTCTGCAGATCAACCTGAAGCAAAGAAAGGCCCTCCAAGGAACACCAGGAAGTCAGAGTAGTGACTCTTGGCCAGATCTTTTGGTTTTGTTCACTTAATTGGGAAAATTACCAAAAGATACACAATGTCTCCAAGCCACTATAAAATGTAGCATGTATACATAATCCCTTTTCCTTCACAGGTCACTAAGTGTGCAGGTGAGGGCGCAGTATAGGAATGGTTTCAGAAAATGAGGCGGAGATACTGAAACTCCTCCTGGGCAAGAATCAGGTCTTCTTACTCATGGTAACCTTCTACAAATGTTTGTGGAATGAAATTAATAATCTTCCTTTAGCTGTTGGATTGATAAGGAAATATTTAAATGTCTTATACTAATTCTTTAACAAATGAGGCTGCTGCAATAGTTAAAATTTAGTGTTTCATAACATGTTTTAGAAAACAAAAAATTTTAACACCACTAAAATACTTTTTAAAAAAAAGATTTTTATTGGGGAATTGGGGATGGGAACAGCACTGGGGAATTGGGGGAAGGGGAACTGGGGGAAGGGGAACAGACAAGTTGCTGTCCTTTTGTTCTTCAGTCTAGTTGTGGAGGACGTTGCTTCACTGGCCCAAGTTGGCACCATCATTGCACTCTTCCCGGGTGAGGCAGATCAGTCGCCGGCCTCTGGACGGCCGCTCACACTGGCTGCTGGCTGCTCACACTGGCTGCTGGCTACACAGTAGACCACAACAACCCACTGCAGCAGGGGCTGCAGCCTACGCCGTTGCAGGTGACTACACAGCAGCCCAGCTCCAGATTGAGCTGTTGTCTAGCATCTTAGCTGTAGAGGGCAGTGTCACTGGCCCTCATATGTGGGATCCGAACCAGGGCCCTCTGGCATCCCAAGCCAGCTCTTAACCAATGCGCCACTCGGCCGGCCCTAAAATACTTTTATATGGATTTAATTTCACTTAGAAGTACAAACAGTTCTATAAATGTTATTTACATTTCTATCAACATATTAACAGATTTATCCTAGTATAAACAGTGTTTACCTCCACTGTAGCCTTTTACAAGTTAACTAGAAGACCATTGGATGACTTGGAATGTGGGGTTCCACAAATCTGGATTCCCAACCTGGAAGCCTAGTGTCCTTAGAGAGCAATGAAGGATCTTTTATTTTGGTACTGTCAAACAAACCTCTGGTTTATCTCCCAAATAAAATCTTAATTGATATTAGAAAACACAATAAGAATTTTACCCTTTTGTACTGTTTTACTCTTATTAAGGATTAGGGAATCTACTGAACTGATGTCATGGAAATAGTTCCATTTCTTCAAGGTGTTCCACTTTCTTTGTAATCCGATCTTATCAAGGAAGTCAGAAGCAACAGGTCAGTGGCAATCAGTGAGGTTATGTATGGAGAGCTCTTTTCCAGATGCCCACACTATTAATTATGTATGGCAAGCTAAACATGCTCTCTCCCCTACACTGCAGTTTTGTTTATTCAAGTAAGACTAAAATTAGAGACAGTATTATTAAAATGATTTTTTAAAATATGAAATGTTATACAAAAAAAAAAAGTATTTCCACTTTCTAAAACAACCATTGAATTTGGTATTAACACATTGTGGACTGGTGACGCAGATTTGCGTCTATACATTTAAATGCCCCGTCCTCATTAATAAGTCCCAGGCATGTTCTTTATACTTTTACTAACTATAAATAGAATTGTTTGACATGTTTCTAAACTTCTTGATATCAGATTGTACCTAACAAGATCATTTCTCTGTAGTTTTTATTACTCAGAGGCATGCCTCCTATCTCGATCACTAATTGGCTGTGATACCTTCACTTTAGATATTTAACCTGTCTGGGTTGTGGTTTCCTTTAATAAGATGAATAATATGATAATTCAAATGATATGAATAACAGGATAATTTCTAAAGTTCCTTTTTTGCTCATATACAATTCCTATATGAAAATACAGAAATGGATCTGTAAAGTATACATTTATAATTTATGCTAATACATTTAGTGGTATACTAAAATTAATTTTAAAGGCAAAAACATGCAAAGCTGAACATATTATGGTAATTTGGTACCAATAAATGCCACTTACATTTATATGTAACCTTTCTTTCATATAGATGAAAATTTTCACACCTATTCTTTATATTTATGAAAACAATGTTCTTGTTTTCAATGACTTAAGAATTGGCAGAGCTCTAGACTCAGATAAATCCAAATTCAAACCTTGATAGTGTTTACTGGCTGCATGAAATCTGGTCAAACAACTTGACTTCTCTAACATATATATTCCTCTTTTTTAAAATACAGATTATTTAGTACCTATGTCAGAGGATTGTTATGGTGGGATAGTTTTTGCCATTTTAATAGATACTGCCAGAAAATAATTTACTTTCTCAAACCTGCAAATCTGTGAAACTAATATTGGAACAAAGTCAGCCAATCTAATTCTATTAAATATACAAACCAAAAATACCTTTCTACTAAGTTAAAGATATATCTGGTTTATACAACTAAATAATAACATTGTTAATATGTTTGATGCTAGAAATCTATGATAGTAAAAAAATGTCAGTATAAAGCAACTAAAAGTTCCATTTGTTTCTATACCTGGCAGTTTCTGATTAACAAAGTTTGAATATCACTTGTCTAATGAAACCTGATTCCAATTAGTGGCTTTTTTAAATAAAAAAGATATTGAATATTCCTTGCATAGCATTGTCTTAAAATGACATTTTTCCCTTTAAGAATAGGGGCTATGGTAGTATATATCAAAGGTTAATATTTCTCTTTATATAAGCAACTGGCTTTTCAAAATTAGAATATATCAAAAGAAGTTTTGTGTGCAGATATTACTGTTATCAGAAATTCCCAGATTGCATTTGTTTTGTTTTACAGGGTTGTTTGTTCAATTATGTGATTTTGTATCATTTTAAACTGTTGTTTGTTTTTTCCCCCTGATAATGCTAGGAAACATTCCAATATATTATGCATTGTTGACAATAATTCCAAAATAGTCATTCTAAATTCAAAAGAAAAGGATATGACAAAGCAAATATTGGTCATCTACTCATAGAAACATTATAATGTTTTCCTACATTCTATAGAAAAAAATAGTAGGTAAAGATTCTACCCTACTAATCATCACAGCCAGGTTTTATTTTCAGTTTCCAATATAAAAGATCATCATGTCTTAGATTAGATCTGGAAGGCATCTTTATTTAAAAGAGGAAAACAAAATTAAGCTTCTTGGCATATGAAGAAATATTAATCTCCACACTTCCTTCCTCACAGTATTTCTATCATTTCTGATGCTTCTATGCTGCTCCCTCTGCCGGAAATAACCTGCATCTCCACCTTCCCAACCAATTATATGTCCAAATCTGCCTCAAATGTCCCTCTTCTATCATGCCTTTCTTGGTAGCCAGCTTGCTCCCAACAAAGCTAATTGCTCCCCTCTCTATACTCCCTTTCTATATCCTTCTTTGCACTTAAAATACTATTGTAGCTTTTTTTGTTTGGTCTGTACAATTTATTTTTTATTGGGTTTTAAAAAAATGTTTATTAAAACATAGCTAATATACAATTATAATAGTTTCAGATATACATCACAGTTATTCAACAGTGCCTACCTGCACTATACAGAGTTATTATTATACCACATTATTGATTATATTCTCTATGTCAAAGAAGTGATCGCCATGGTAAGTCCAGCAACCATCTGACACTGTATCACGCTATCACAATATTATTGACTATATTTCTATGTTGTATATTACATCCCCAAGACTTATTTGTTTTATATCTGGCACTTCGAACCTCTTATTCTTCTTTATCTTC